CTGAGATTGGGTGTTGAGCTTGATGTATGGCATCAGAGAGGCAGCCAACCCCAGCCACAAGAGAATGACTCAGTGATGTCTGTCCTGGGCAGCTCGGCATCCATTTTTCTCCAAGCGTCCAGGTGTGGCGAGCGGGCCACGGCTGCCAGTCAGGTGCCCACCCGCCTGCTCTCACTCCCGCTCCTTAGCAGGAGAAGGAAAATAAGAGGACGTGGGTCAAGTTAAGTCTAGAGAGATGGCTCACTGTCTGCCATCCTGGGCAAAACAAGCTCAACTCGGGGAAGATACCAGTTAGTATTTGATGCCAGTTCGTAGGAGTAGAATAATGAGAACTAAAAGCAAACTAAAAACACTTCCTCCCCATCCACCCTCTTCTACCTTCTCCCCTCCCAGCAGAGCAGGGGAACATGGAGTGGGGGCTGTGGTCTGTCGATAACGCTTTGTCTCTGATGCTCCTCCATGGTCATTCTCTGCCCTGCTGCACCGTGGAAGTTCCTGCTGTGTGCCTGGAACGCCTCCTGCCCTCCTCCTGGTCTGAACTGAGAGGTCTGAACTGCCCTGGCTGTCAGGGGGTGGCTTTGGATCACCCACGTGGCTAGAGAGATGCGACACTTAGATGCATCTCTCCAGTCAAGTTCTAGAGATGAGTACGTGCCATAGCAATCCCAGATTAGTTTGGGGAAAATTCCCAGGGGCGTGTGGGACAGCACAGGGAAGGAGGGAGCAATTCCCAACGGTCATTTCCATGCAAATAACAGCAATATATTTGGTCATTTCTCCTACAGGAGCAGGAAAAAGAGGCGAGGAACAGAGCTGCCTACATTTCCACCTTGCCAAAATCCCCTCTGTGGTGGAGAGACTTTGAGAGGGACAAGGACGATGACAGCTCATCCGGAGGATGCAGTCCTGGGGGGGGTGGAAGTGGATCTGGCTCTTTTCATGGACTTGTCTTCTAGCAACCGGTATCTAGCAGACAGTCCATGGGGCTGACCTGAAGCTGGAGGCTCCTCTTTCTCACCTCAGTGACAACAAGGAACTCAGGAGAGAATTTGGGGAACAATGCAATGGAAAAAGACTCAGGGGCTGATTTGGAGACTATTATTGGCACCTGGAGGTTTCTACTGCTTTCTATGCACTTAACGCCTTAAATTAACCCCTGCAGTTAAGCACCTGAGAGACAAGCGTCCACCGACAGCTTGGAGAAGTGCCCTTCTGCTTCAGCGTAGCACTGTCTTGCCTGCTGCCACCATCCTGGGGAGGGAATGGGGATAGGGGTGAGGATGGACCCAGCAATGCCCTGGGAATGGAGAGTGCTCCCACACATCCCATCTGCAGTCCTTCCTGTGGCACTGAGTTCCAGGGGACCTTTCCTGGGTTGTTTTATTTTAATGTGCTTTTGCCAGCCCACTTTGAGGCGCATCTAACGGTGGGAAAAGGCTGAATAAGGCCCAGCAGCCAACACTGCAATGCCAGTATTCCAAGGTGGTGAGCCTGCAGGCTTGCTTGGCGGCACTGAGCGGCAGCAGGTTGACCTGGACGATGCTGAGGGTTATAAACTACCCCCAGCTGCAAGAGACTGAGCAGCTCTGGTTGGTTCCTTGGGGCTCCATTGGGCCCTTGTGTCACTGGTGACCTCTGGATGCTGTGAGTGTACACGGCAGACCCAGCTGTTTGTCCAGATATGTCTTTAGGACTTGGTTACTCTGGTATTTCCTGGTTTCTGGTCAGATCTGCCAGACTAGACAGCTGGGCTTTCTTTTAGGATGCCCTGAGCTAAGACCCCTAAACCCACCAGCTATTTCTTAAAATACTGATTTGCTAGGAAAGTAACCCAACCAGATGCACTTTATGCGTCCTATATAGGTGCAGACTATGTAAAGCAGAGCTTTCTACATAATCAGTCACAGAACAGGAGCTGATTTTGGTGGCAGGAGCCAACGCAAGCCCTGGGCAATTGTGTCTGTAGGATCGTGGCTCCAGCCCACAACGCCCCCCGCCCACTGTCCCAACCTGCTTCGTACTTGTGTTTCTAGTAAAAGTTGCTTGAGCTCAAGTGGCAGAAGCGTGTGCCTTCAGTGCTGTGTGCGGGGCCTAATCTTGACTGTGGGGTGCCAGGGGGAACACTGTATTGCTGCGGAGGAGAAGACAAAACACAGGCATAGCTATGGGAGATGCAAGCAAAGGATCGAATCTCTTGGTGTATACTCATATATTCTTTTATTTTCATCCCTACATATAAATAAAGGAAATCAATTCAGTATAGAGGCTTAGGGTCTTACAACAGTACTCATTTGTGTTGGGTTGATGGGGACAAAAGGACGGGAGAGACTGATGAGAGAGGAGCACTCAACCTTGCATGCTCAGGAAAATCACATGGAGTACGAATGGATTCATCCCAGGCAACTCCTGTCTGACAAACTTGGTGGCCTTTCATGATGCAGTTACAGATAAAATAAAAGACAAAAGAAAAGCAGCTGATGTCACCTACCTGGACTTTTGCAAAGCATTTGACACTGTCCTGCGTGACATCATGGTCACCAAGTTGGAGAAAAATGGATCTGAAGGACGGACCGCTCGCTGGATAAGGAGTTGGCTGGATGGCCCCACTCAGAGAGTAGCAGTCAGCTGCTCAAAGTCCATGTGGAGACCGGTGATGAGTGGTGTTCCTCAGGAATTGGTGCTGGGACCATCGTTGTTTAACATCTTTGTAGACAACGTGGGCAGTGGGGCGGAGTGCACCCTCAGCAAGTTTGCAGACAACACCAAGCCGAGTGGTGTAGCTGACACGCTAGAGGAAAGGGATGCTCTCCAAAGGGAGCTGGACAGGCTTGAGAGGTGGGTCCATGCCAACCTCGTGGAGCTCAGCAAGGCCAAGTGCAAGGTCCTGTACCTGGCCATTGTATCAGCATTGCTTATTTTGTTTCACAGCTGATGCTCTAAATAGACCTTTTCATATTCCCACAATTCCCACTTTTTTATTAGCAAACTATTGATATAACATAGTAACACTAATCGTATTAATAACATAATCATAATAACTCAATCAAGGCCTTGATTGACAAAACTCTAAACATAAGGAAAGAGACGAGAGAAACATGGCATCATGATAAGAAATACTGTTAAACCCATTAAAAAGAACAAACACGTTTGGCTTACAGCCTAAGTTTCTGCATCCTGGAAAAATATCCCTGAGGGTTACCTTCTGTGTTAATCTATAACTGGTTAGAAAAAATCTTCAACGTTCGTGTACTCTGATATATTGATTTTGAATGATCACTGAAATTCGTACAACACATACTTTCAGTGTGCTCACAACCATGCCTTTGGGCTAACAGGAAATCAATGGTCGCACAACTTGATGAAATTGCATGTCAGATAGAATCAATATTCGTGTGCTAGAGTATCACAAGGGACACTACTTTCCTTAGCTGGCTAATACCCTAACTTGGTGAGTGTGGCTAAAGCTTGAGCAGTATTGTTTCTGGATACATTTGGATCTGAGAGACAGGATGTCGCAGGAGCAGAGAGGCAAGCAAACCATGCATTCAGAGCAGCACAGAGGTCTATGAGTTTTAGTCAACGTATTCACACTCAGTCACACACACACACACACAAAAACAAACAGACAGGCATCCATTTTAGACAGTCCCATAAGCGAGAAGCAGGAACTCCCTCAGCCAGTGCATTACTACCTATTGATCCTTGAGAAACTGCAGACTGCCAAAAGGAGAGAGGAGGAACACGCCAGCGGCGGATGCGACAGGCAGTGCCAGCAGGGCATCCCCTGCTTCAAAGTGCACTTTTCCTCTCTCACCCATCACAGATTCTCTCCTGCTTTTGTTCTTCTCAGGGTCTGCAGGGTTTTTTCCATTTGTACACCACATCCATGTGGCCAGTGCGTGATACAGAGCCCAAGTGGAACACCTGCTTGTAAAACAGAATGAACTACCAAGGTTAGCTCTCTCTACAAAACAAAATATTTGCAGCTATAGCCACAAATATCAGGTCCCTAAGTGCTGTCAGAATGCTTTGTTTCATCCCCAAATCATTCTTCAGTGAGGGGTCTTTCGGTCCTTGACATAGCTGCTAAATGAAAGGATTGGTGAACTAAAAAATCTGCTGGGCAGTATTCCAGAATCCTGTATCAGAATCATATGCTGAATCAAAGCAAGATAGCGTGTGCCTTTGTCTCGAGTGATGCATGGTCATATTTTTAAAATCCTGATTAGTGGGATGGAAGAGAGCTAATCATTGTTTAACATCCCTTTGCCTGGGATTTCTTTCCAGGTTTTGTCTTTGCAAATTAAAAAAAGGCTAATTGATAGGCTAATAACATCATAACCAAGCATTACTAATACACTAAAAAAGCTATTCCCACAGATTCCAGCATTGGTAACATCAAATCCTGTCTACTACTAAAATAGAAGACGTGCACAACAACCTAGATAATGCTTAATAATTCTAATTCTTGAGACTGCATTGGGAGCACAGGAAAATCACTTTGTCATACCATCGCTAAGGTTGTTTACAATACAACAAATTACAAAACATGGTAATGCAGAGAGGACTGGCACTTTCCCAGAGGGAAGCAGGCAACATCTTGTCCCCCCGCCCACCTCCCACAGGACAAATAAACAAACAAACAAACAAAAATTGGCTGTGATGGGAGAACTGAGTAGCAACTTTTTTTCAACTGTTTGTAAGCCGACAGATTGGACTGCCTGGATGAGCAGTAAAGTGTCCTTTAGACCCTCTTCTTGTTCTGCTGCTATTAATATATCATCCATGTAATGATAAATGAGGATGTGAGGTCTAGCTTTTTGTACTGGTTGTAATGCATTTGCTACCAGCAGTTGGCATATTGTTGGACTATTGGGCATCCCTTGTGGTAATGCAATCTAATGATACCACTGAGCAGGGCTTTGTTGGTTGATGGAGGGCACTGAGAAAGCAAATCATGGTGCATCTTTTGGATGAAGCTGAATGGTAATAAAACAGTCTTTTAAATCAAAGACTGCTATGGGCCAATTCGAAGGTAACATTGAAGGAGAAGGAAGACAAGGCTGCAATGCCTCCATGGGCTCAATTACTGCATTGACAGCACGCAGGTCCTGTAAAAGCCTCCACTTTCCACTCTTCTTGAGGATAACAAAGACTGGAGTATTCCATGGGCTGGCAGTAGGCACTATGTGACCAGCAGCTAGCTGTTCTCAAACTAGCTCATGTAAATGCAGCAACTTCTCCGTTGTTAAGGGGTGCTGATCTGCCCAAATAGGTTGTTGTTTTCCAAGCTAGGGGTATAGGTTGCTGCCAATCAATGGCTCTTACTGAAAATTTGTATGCAAAATCATGCTCCATTGACTTAAAAGATCACAACCCCACAAAGTACAGAGAACCAGCAGTGTGAGCAACGGATAAAATCTGGGCACTTTGGGCTCCTGCAAGCCCCCATCTCCTACAGTAGCAGAATTAGGGTCTTTAAGTTGGCCATTCAGAGGGCCATTCACTTGACTTAATGATGTCAGGATGAGGCCATTTCCCCTCATCCTTTCACCTGTTACCAGTGAGAAGAGAGCAGCCCCGCTCTCGCTGCAATCACCTTTCAGGTGTTTGAAGAGAGCAATAAGGTCTCCCCTCAGCCTCCTCCCCAGACTAAACAGCTCCAGCTCCTTCAGTCACTTCTTGTAAGGCATATTCTTCAAGCCCTTCACAAGCCTTGCTGCCCTTTTTTGTACCTGCTCCAGCACCTCCGTGTCCTTTCTGTACTGAGGTGCCCCAAACTGATCACAGTACTCAAGATGGGGCTTCACCAGTGCTGAGTACAGGGCAGGATGACATCCCTAGTCCTTCCACGAGGACAGGCTGAGAGAGCTGGGACTGTGCAGCCTGGAGAAGAGAAGGCTGTGAGGTGACCTGAGAGCAGCCTTTCGGTGTATGAAGGGGAGCTACAGGAAGGATGCTTGAGCACGGACTGTGATGACAGAACAAGGGGAAGTGGTTTCAAGCTCAAAGCAGTGGATTCAGGTGAGATGTAAGGAAAAAGTCTCTATCAGTGAGGGCTGAGGAAAACGGAGCATACATGGCTGTGAGGTACTAAAGTGTTCCCCTGAAGCAGATATAGATGTAGCTGTAATTCACTTTATCAACCAAAACCATCTGCGTAGGTTTCTTGTACCATGAAAATCCCTACCTTCATTCTCATGTCCATCACTTCACAGAGTGGACATATGTAGCTGTGGGAAACACATAGCGACACGACCTGAAGAATGTTTTGAAAGCTTCAAAGTGTTGCATAACTCAAACTGACCCAGTTTCCTCCTTCCATCCCACTCCATAGCCGTGCTGACAGTCAGCAATGAGAGACGACATTTTATTATCATTCTTTTATTTTCTTGTTTCTTTTCCCCTGAATATACAGTACTTAAAAACGCGATCACTTTCACATCAGTCATGTACCATGTTTATTAACAGCAAAAAAAAAAAAAAGGAATTATCTAGGTTTCACTCAAGACTGATTTACAGGATAAATAATTGTTTCCAATTACATTAAAAAAAAAAAAAAAAAAAAACCGACAACAAACCGTAAAGAATAAATTAATTAACTTAAGTGATTAGCTGTCCACAGTGATTTGAAAACTTCATAACCATTCCAACAGCGACACCACAAGAAGACATGTACTGTACAGTTTGCCACAGATTACTCTTGTCCTTCCTTCTACAAACTGAAAAAAAAAAACATCCTCAGTTTTTCAGAACAGTCATAGGCTTTGAAACACACAACATATCCCTGCTTCAAAGCCAGGGCTTTGACCCATCCTTGCTGCAGGCTAAGATACAAATGGCAAAAACTATTCTACTTTGGCTGGGTCCATTCCCACCCAATGATGCTCAAAGTCAGTGGGGACTGCTGACTTCACCACGAGCTGAGTGGGACATCACTAATGCTAAAGGTTTGCCCTAGCCCTATGGGATTCATCAACGTGTTTCCTTGGAGCCCTTTCCTCCACGATGCTTTCCACCACTGTGTCCTAGGGGCTCCCAAATTAAATGTGGTATTTTTGGGGACTGTGAGGCAGCAAAACACCAAAACTGTGCAAATGTTTCTTTCTCCCATTCCCTCACTCAGGAGAAAGCCCCAACAAGTGGTTTTTTTCCCCCACGCTGGCAATTGTACATGATGTTCTCAGTGAGTTTTGCAGAGCAATGTCATGTATGATGCTGGACACAGCAATTGAGATATCGACTAATTAAACCTCACCATGCTCCTGTGAGGTGGGGAAATAAGTACTAAGATTGTAATCTTCATTTTACGGGCTGAAAGTGGGAGTTAGTTTAAATGAACCTCCTGGGCCCACCTGAAGATAAAATGCAGCGTCACCTGAAAGACAACAATAAAAGGATGGCCCTTATAGTCAATCCACTGGCCTACAAATGCACTTGTTATCTTAGAAATACCCAGCACTGAAAATTAAGAGTCTGCTGATTGCAAGCAAGCCCATCAAGAAGCAATTTTAGCTCGAGCCACGGGGTCCAGCTCCTGCTCCAGGAAATCTGGGCACAGTGTGTTAAGCAAGGCTCATTGTGAGTTGGCTGGTGACACCTTGCTACGTATTGGCTCTTCTCCAAGAGAAACCACTGATGCAGGAACCTGATTAACAGCACTTCTCAAAGAGCTGTGAACAAGGATCGGACACAAAGGACAAGTGGATGGAGGGATGGACTGCTTCAGACTGGAGAACTCATAAGTGTACACATCTCTGCCTCTGCCTTGTGATTTGATGCTGGAGTGGTCTCTCGGATTTGCTTGGCTTTTTGGCAGCCATGCATGTCCTTTGGCTCCACACCTGACTGAGGTTAGGCTCTGTTTTTTGCCCTTCCCATTGCAAATAGGGCTTCTCTATAGGCACAGTCCAACTGCACTGGTCTCATACT